GTAAAAATAACCCAGGGCGGTGAACAATAGCTGAGGATGGTAAACAACAACTAAGTAGGTGAACAAGAGCTTAGGGTGGCAAGCAAGAGCTAAGGGTGGTGAACAACAGCTATGTTAATGAAACAAGAGCTGAGTGTGGTCAACAAGAATTGTGAGTGGTAAACAAGTATTAAGGGTGGTAAACAAGTATTAAGGGTGGTAAACAAGTATTAAGGGTGGTAAACAACAGCTAGGTTAATGAAACAAGAGCTGAGAGTGGTAAACAATCAATTATTCAGGGTGGTAAACAACAGCTAGGTTAATGGAAAACAACTAGGTTGGTAACAAAGAGTTGGGGTGGAAAACAAGAACTGTGGGTGATATACAAGAACTGGTGGTGTTGAACAATAGCTAAGGTGGTAAACAAGAGCTGAGGGTGTTAGGGAGGTAAACATCAACTAGGTAGGTGAACAAGAGCTGTGGGTGGTGAACAGGAGCTGAGGGTGGTGAACAACAGCTAGGATGGTGAACAAGAGTTGAGGGTGGTAAACAACAACTAGGTAGGTGAGCAAGAACTTAAGGTGGTTAACAATTGTAGGTGTTACACAAGTATTGTAGTGGCACCCAAGACCTGGGTGTGTTGAACAAGAGTTTAGGGTGGCAAAAAGAATTGTGGGTGGTAAACTAGAGTTGAGGGAGGCTAACAAGAACCGAGGGTAGGTGAACAAGAGCTGAATGCAGAAAACAAGATTTGGGGTGGTAAACAGGAGCTGGGTTAATGAACAACAACTAGGGTGGTAACCAAGAGCTGAGAGTGGTAAACAAGTATTGTGAGTGGTAAATAAGTATTGAGGGTGGTGAACAACAGCTGGGGTGGGAAACAACAGCTAGGTTAATGAAAAACAACTAGGGTGGTAACAAAGAGTTGTGGGTGGTAAACAAGAACTAAAGGTGGTATACAAGAACTGGTGGCGGTGAACAACAGCTAGGGTGGTGAACAAGAGCTGAGGGTGGTAACCAAGAACACAGGGTTATTATCACCCGTACACATTACTTACCACCCGTCAGTATGGTTTATTACCGTACGCCTTATTATCACCCGTACACATTACATACCACCCGTCAGTATTGTGTATTATCGTACGCCTTATTACCATCCTTACACATTACTGACCACCCGTCAGTATGGTTTATTATCGTACGCCTTATTACCATCCGTTAGTATTGTGTATTATCTAACCCCTCGTCGGTGTTTGGGATCAGAAGGGCTTAATTGGAAAATGCGTCTAGGATAAATGTGACACAATTTGGACACGCGCCTGCTATGTCTTATTTTTTACTATTTACACATCTTCATCAACCTTTTTTTTTACTTACGTAAAGATCCCTAGACAGTTGGAAATCGAAAATAAGAGTAGGCTAATGTCGTTGTCCTGACAAAATTTCCCTCATTGCACACTGCATGGCGTTTGCCCATCCTCAGTAGCCCATACAGGTGCAGAAAAGTAGGACGTAAAATTTTATTTTATTTCATTTTTTTTCTACGGATTTCTTATACAAACGTAATACTATGATGCTAAATTTCATAGCAACACTAACAGCGCCTTTTGGGATGTATGCTAATTTGGTGTAAACAAAATGGCGGAATTTCTACTTTCGTTCCACTGCAAGAAATTCAATTTATATTAACACGGTCTTGTATGAACCTGACAAAATCCATTACAAATTACTCAGAGTCGACTAATATGTCACTGAAAGAAACAATTATATCAAAAAGGCTGACATTTCATGAATTTTTAGAGATTTTTCTGCCACCCGGATGGCGAATAGTCAAATTAATGGACGTGGACTATTCACCACCCGGGTCGCGAATATCCACGGCCATTCCGTCCAAAGATCACACCAAGTTTCATCAGAATCGGATGAAAACTGTAGCTTCAATCCTGCTCACGAACAATTTTTAACAAATTTCAAGGCGTTCTAAGTCAAGGGCAATATCTCAAAAACCGTTCATCAAAAATATGTCAAATTCGAACTAAACCGAGATCTTATCAATCTAAAGCATCAGACCAAGTTTTATCAAAATTAGATAAAAAATGTAGTCTCTATAGTGCTCACAAGAAATGTTGACGGACGGACCGACGGACAGGGGCGACGACAATATACGACCACATATTCATGTGGGCGTATAAAAATTGTTGTGGTCTCTTGTAAACAGAGCAGTTTTCTCCCTTTCACAGGTGGCGATAAAAAACAAGATGTCGACACAAGCACCGCTTGTAAACAATTTTGAGGTCCCTTCATGGTAGGTTTTATACTATCTTACCGAACTACAACCATTTCGTTATGTTTTCCTCTAATTCATATTTGATGAGCTTCAATATGCATTAATCAAATAGTATGCAAATATATTAACTACCGGTACCAAACCCTACCATGTAAAATTGTGATAGGCTTACTTACTGAGTGACTGTACTGTAATACAGCCCTACCGGTAACTTATAACAATAACATAATGCAGGGAATATTATAATAATCTCAGTTTTGTTAAAGTTATATCCTTGTTAATTTATACGAAGTGCTGTCTAGAACATTGAATGAAATCTGTAGATTTAATAGGACTTGGCAAGGTTTACTCAATTTTGTCAGGTTCCCAGCGATTCTTTAGAATTTTCTTTTTGAGACTCAATGTAATAGAACTTTACACTGCACTGATATTTTACAGTGCAGTAATCGGTCTGGACAGAGACAACCTCTCATTGCGTGACTCTAAACCAGCACGATGCCAAGCCCCTATCAGCTAGTTTTTCTCGTGAACCAGTTGGGACTTGACCCAGATAATGTGTGGCTGCCTAAATGCTGCTATAGTCTAACATGGTCATAAAATTGACCAAAACTAGGTTTAAAGATTACACAAATAGACTGGAAGGGTTGGTTGCATCTTTGATTTCATTGATTTTACCCTGACTGTGTAGCTGACTTAACCCAATGGAAAAGGCTAAAAAGTCTAAATGTAATGCTTGTTTGCCTTTCAATGTTGTTATATTTATATCTCTTTGACCATAGGTACTGGTGCTTCATCCTGAGTTAAAATTGAAGATATACAAACATTCTCCATTGAACTTATAACAGTGCTCGTAAATGATGAACACAGTCAAACAGGTTATAAGTTATAGTTATATTTTTTAGCTAATTGTTTGATATATTTCAGGGCTGGAAAACCTGCACCTGGTCTTCATCTTGATGTTATTAAAGAAGGTAAAATGGTTCAGGTGAGTTGTGAGCTAATAAGTTTTAACATAATCAATGAGATCAGACCAAATTATACATGTGATAAAGAATAAGATCATACTAGCCTTTAAAATATATTGTTCAGAAGTTACATCTAACTACACTCATGATTGATTGATTGAAATTAATGTGATGGAAAAGGTGAATATTAGGGTTCTAATGTAGATGCAAATTTACATATGAAAATTTAATGATTTTACAGTGCGGAACAGTTTTAAACAAATATTATCATTTCATGTCAATTTCAGACCATAACCTGGACAATGTGTTGATAACAATTAATTATTAGCCAAAATTTATTTTTTATAATCCATTTTGTTCTTTTGTAGAAATTGATGATTGACGAAAAGAAATGTTATTTTTTTGGTAGAAACAAACAAATGTGTGATTTTTGTATTGATCATGCCTCTTGTTCCAGAGTTCATGCTGCTTTAGTGTGGCATAAACACCTTGGTCGACCATTTATTATAGATTTAGGAAGTAGTGAGTATTAGATTTCTTATACATTTTACATCTAGACAAAAATGGCTGCACATTACTTATCAATATAGGAAAATTTCCAAACTTGGTTGGTTACACTAATCTCACTAGTAAAAACGATTTCCTGCTGAAATCAGTGAACTAAAGACAATTGTTTTGTCAAAACAGTTTTCATTAGATAGAAAGCTGAATGCGAGTCTGATTTAGACTATCTTGAAGTATCTAATTTCTGGAGGTCAAGATGAAATGCTTCATAATTTATCATAAATGCAATGATCAAATTTTAAAGCTATGGAAGAGTGGGATGGCTACTGCTGCTATACTGCAAAAACTTCCCTCATTTATTGGAACAGGAAATATCAGGATATTCACCAGTTCATATAATTGCCTTCATGCCTCTCAATAGTTCTTACAAATTTGTACTAATCTTTCCAGCTCATGGAACATATATTGGTCACATAAGATTGGAAAAAAGGAAACCACAACAAGTACCTATTGATAGTGAATTACATTTTGGTGCCTCTACTAGAATTTATATAATAAGAGAAAGACCCCAGCCTCTAGGTTTCGATGATAATGATAAGAGTGATATTAGAGATGGTAGTTTATTAGGTTTACCAGAAACAGAAACTGAATTGGACGTAGGTTTATTTCCTAATAGTAGGCTTATTGTAAACTTATATCACTATTACCTATGTATTTCAAGGATATTTTGATAATAATTTAAAGTTAGATATGTAGAAAAGACTAATGGAATTTGGAATTGTGTACAAAATAATTTCTTGGTAACAACTAACAAGAAAAGGGCAATGGTTTATTCACAAGCTAAATTCTAGTTTGTGATATACATAGAATACAAATTATTGGCTAAAAGACAAAGAGTATACTTTTCCACCAACCAAGTCGGCCAAAGCTAATGCTAAAGGAGTGAACTATCTATCCAAAGAGGGACACACTAGTCGCCTCTCACTTCCATTTACCGAGACACTCCAGTCGAATAAGCCCTCCATTTAACTCCATTGGATATCAGATTGCAAACTTTCCAATAAGATCAATGACAAATCTAAACTTGGACACCCCCACTTCTTTCTTTGTTATACAATTTCTCCCACTGGGTGCTCGAACTTTAGATTTCCCCTATAGCCTCCCCACCCTCTCACTTCCCAAACGATGTAAGCTCGTACATTTCCATTTACTGTTCGGTGTTGGACGGTACCCTCACCGCCCTGTACATGTCACTAGTCACTGATAATCAGGGATAACTGGTCGCACAACCAATCTTTATCTCGTATAGAATACAAGTTCAAAGGGAACATGATTAAGGGATAATATCAGTGGAAGCTTGTTACAGATTCAGGTTAAATTTCATATAATTAATTCACAATTCCATGTGATTGGATAACAGTGGTCACATGCATTCGGTTTATATCTATGTAAACAGAATATAAATATAAGCTCTGCCCCTTAACAGAATACTTTTATCGTTGAGATTGTTTGATGTGGCCACTACACGGTGTCAATGTCTTCTGCTTATATGTTTTGAGTCAAGATGGCAGAAAACAGTGACATGTCTGGGCATAGAAAGTTCTGTTAGAATGTACAACAGAGATTGCTCCAGTAAAAAACAAGAAAGAAACAGCAATACACTGTCTGCTGTTGCACTTGCTGACCCCCGTGTTGACAATACCGCCTCTGTACTTTCTTCGATCATCAACAGAGCCAAAAATTGACACTCCACTAAATGATCAAGGTATTTTCCAAATTCCCTTGTCTGTGTACACTCCAAATTCCAACAATATCATGAATTCTGGAGTTATTTTGAACTCCTCTTTCAATAATTGCACCTTTCAGTCAGGCAGTAGGCAGTAGACTATAAAGATAGTGGACCACAGCCATATACGCCCACCACAGGATGCAGATGGTAAAAACGAAACATCCTTTTTAAGTTTCTTCAAAATCGGTTGAAAACTAAGAGAGTAATAGCATATTCAAGATTTTGGGGCAACTCTGCTTCTAACGGTCAAAAATAACTCAAATTCGAACTTGATCTTTGTTTTATGAATATGTATACACATACCGAATTTCATTGCGTTTACAAGCAAATGTTGACGGACTGACGGACGGACAGGGGTGCCGACAATATACGTACACATAGAGGGATGTGGGCGTATAAAAAGGGTGACCTACCTATTTCTGATATATTGTTGGTATCTGTTCATAAGCGTTATGTTAAAGTCTTATGTGTTTATGCGCCCATTGAGTGCCTTAAGTTGTTGTTATATTGGATGAATATTTAAACAAGTATTCGAGTTGATTTAATTATAAGGAATGACCTGAACATTTTTTCAGTTAGTCAATGTATTAACAGAACTTACAGAAATAACCTGTGTACACTTGTGTATAAACTACTATGTTTTGTTATGGCGATAACTGTTCAGCTAAAAAAAGTTTTATTTCTGTTTTAGAATTTAACAGAGTTTAATACAGCTACAAACAGAAGAGTAGCCTCTGTTGTAGAAGGTAGTAATAATAAAAATCCTTTAAAAAGAAAAAAGAAAGGTGTACACATCACTTTTAATGAAGATGAAGAAGTCATTAATCCAGGTAAAGAGTGGAGGGAGAAATGTTTGATAGCCTCCCATTATTTAGCAATGACACTTAAAGCTATTATATTTCTGTTTCTGTATATATTTCTGCATATATGCTAGTATGCAAGTTGATCATTTGCCTTATTCTGTAAATTTAAGTCAGTAGTAGTAGTTTGGCTTGTCACCCAACTGTTATCAGATTTTCAGTTAAATTTTTATTTGATTACAGAAGATATAGATCCATCGATTGGAAGATTTAGAAATCTTGTTCAAACAACAGTCATACCATCAAAGGTAAATAACTCATTTTTACAGTATATATTCCTTTGTTAAATTTTCCTTATAGATTAATTTTAACTTAAAATTTGTTGAATTTCTACTAAATAGTAATTAATGTTACATCTGAATTTCTTATGCCGTATTTTTGTGTTTGTTTGTGTCACTCTCAGTTGAATTTTTAATTTCAGAGAGCCAAAATAGAACATGGTTTAAATCAACCTAGTATGACAGACAGTATCACAAAACGTTTACAAAACTTTTCTTATGGTGCTGCTGGTTTATATGGTGACTTGCCCACGTTGGGAAGTACAAATGCTGGCTCTACATTAACAAGTACCTTCAGCATGGCTGCTAAATTAGGACTCTCTATGCCCAATTTAGCACCCGATTTGGATGTGTCAGCACCAGAAGTGAAAGCTCCTGAAATTAGTGTTGCATTTACACCTGAAGAGGTGTCTAAAGAACCGAAGAAAAAGAAATATGCCAAAGAAGCCTGGCCTGGCAAAAAACCTGTGCACAATCTTTTAGTGTAGTGAATGTGTTCTGTTTAATATTTTCAAAAGATTTGTTCATGTTTGCTGGTAACTCAGAATGTGAGTCAGACTGTTTGACTATCATCACAAGTGTTGTTGTGATTTTGGACACAAGATTCTGTGAATTCTACACTGATACTAAAGAGCACAGTTGTGAATATTTGTTACACCAGCCAAGACCAAATACCATTAGTATGGGTATACATATCTTCACAATATTAATCTACTTTGTCTCATACCTTATAATAACCACCTTTCTTGTGTCACAGAAATTTATAAATGCACTGATTTGATTGTACGCTAGCGAATACAGAGCCAATCAGAGTTTAGACAGAAAGTCTTTCAAGACTAAGTTATATTGTTATGGTCCAATTGTCTAGGACTCTTGCTGCATTCCCTGATACAAGAAAGGTTTTTATTTCAGTAAAGCAGGGTTGGTGATTTTTTTTATTTAAATCAAAGTTTTTTGATTTGAATTGTATTTTATTGAGTTTTTTAGTTATATTCTGTGGAGCTGTCCTAAAATCCTTTTTTTAACCAATATGTGTAAGTTAGCTCCTCTGCATTGTAATATTATGGCAAAGATGTAAACAAGTGTTTGTAATTCAACTGAAAAATAGGTTTAATTTAAAATCGTAAGATAATTTATGTAATCTTTCTGATCAGTTCAAGTGTCCTGTGGTGGCTAATTGAGTACGGTGCTTCCTGTCTAATATGAGGTCATGGGTTCAATACCCTGTTGTTATTATCAAGATTTCTCTTTTCTTTACCAGGGGCGCAGACTCAATGGGCTGGCAAGGAGTAGCACCTAGTGTGACAAGGACAAGACTAGAAGTTTTGTTACATTTAATGCTGTCAATAATTTGTTTTATTCTTTTAAGAATCACCTGATTTAAATCAATGATATTGTAAAATCGATCCCCTGAAATTTCTAGGAATAAACAAACTATTCGATGATAAACTAGTGTATATATTAGTCTCAATACCTTATATAAACTTTCTCTTCATTATACAGTTAATGATTTTATTAATTTGTATCTTTTTTTTTTAATTCAAATCAATGATTTTTTTTTAAAAATAATTTAAATCAGCCACACCTGCACTCAAGGTAAAAGACAAAGTCGGTAATAGCTTGAAATTGTGAAGATAAACAAAGATGATATACAAAGATGTCATGTGTATTTTATCCTTACCCAAAAGTATATTGGAGTGAATCATTGAAAGTCATGTTGAAAACTATGCATATAGAAAGTCTTAAAATGGCATTTATTAATTGTGAGTACGATATATGGACACTGCTTTATGGAACAACAATCACTGGTTAACATTAACATTTTATAATGTTTCCTTTAACAGTTTGTTTGTTGTTCAATAAAACTGTGTCTATATATGTATATAGAAACCTATCCTTAAACATACGAAACAATCTGATTCAACCCTACTTGTCTTCTACAAAATAACTTCTTTTATAATGTTTGTCCTTTTCTTAATGCACTTAATGCAAAAATGAATTATTTAGTTTAAGTGTGTGGTTTTAGGAACAGAAAATGATAAAATGACTGGAAACAATATTAGTTGCTTCTCAGTCCTATTTTCATCTTGAACAGTTCATTTTCATAAATTGTAGATGAACAAAAAATCAGATTCATTCTGATCTGCCTCATCTAGCTTGCAATTTGTTCAGATATCAAAGCGAATATTTAAGTAACTAAGCTCATAGCTCTTTTAATTGATGGGTTGATTCACAAAGACGTTTTTAATTTCATTTTGTATGATTCATCTACAGATACCAAGCAACAATTGATTTCATATTTCATTTCATTTAACATGAGATAAATCCTATTTCTAGTCTCATGAATAATTAATGTCTCTTGCAGATTATTTTCAATTCGATTCTAGTGTTCTGTAGAAAGAAACACAAGGAACACTCAATGATAAAAGAATATTAATGTATTTTCAATTCAGACATTGTCATAAGAACACTATGTTCTTACTGAAATATAGATCATGGCAAATGATCAAATTGGGGCTTTGAATTTTGATTTTCACGTTGGCAGCAACTATGTGCACTATGTGGACAGTGTGCATTGATGGATAGCTGATAGCATTTGATTGTGACAAGTGAGAAATATGGCTGAGATGTTTTAGGTTGTAAAGTAAATATTCAGACCTATGTATCTCTTAAAGGTGTAAAATGTAATACGACCACATAGAAATTTTGACCTAATTTGGTATGTATTTATTTGTAATGACGAGATGTTGGTCAAGTTGGAATTGGGCAATAATTGAATGAACGGTGTCGAATTATTGCGTTTGACTTGTAGAGGCAAAAGCTTTTTGTGATCTTGAAGCAAATAAGTGATAACTTAATCGAGTTTTTGTTCAACCAAATAGAAATACTAGTACTGATAGTGGTTTTTGTAATTATAAAAATTAGAAGTAAAATTTATTACATTATTATAAGCCACCCATATCCCAATATAAAAATCAAACAGCAGCTTAAATTTTGAGCGGAACCGAATGTTACAAATTTATGTCATGAAGAGGCAATGTTTATATGAAGATATATTACATTGTATCTTATCATGAATGGGTGTAACCAATTTTAAAACCATTTAAAAGTACATGACAAACATATATGTTATTGACTTACTCAATCTTATTCATATTTCATTATTCATTGTGAAATAACATGATTTTCATGTGGATAGGTTTCCAACACTAACTTCACTTTAATATTGGAGCAATACTTAGAGGGGAATTTTCATCATTTAAATTGATGTCAACTATATCTGAAAATGTGTCTATCTAAATGTGTTATTTACTAGGGTTAATTAACAACGGAGTGTACTTATTGTTAAGTAAGCAGTTTGATCTAGTTTTGGTGTTTAGCTATATAATGGCTCGATATTTTGATTTCTGAATATGTATGAGACGCATTTCTTTACAACCAAAGAACTGTTTAAAATGTTTACGTAAACCTCAGCGGCAAGACACTTTAAGTTAAAACTTTCAGATAAGTTTAACATTTCTCTCGATTTTTGTTGTATTGTTTTTAGAATGTCCTTTTAAATTTGACATCGGAAATACCATATTTTCACTTTAAAATCAACATGCTATAAATGGCGAATTTTATTGTTAAAAATTATATATTAGATCTTGAGTGGTACTCTGTCTATCACTATAATCTAGTTATTTGTACTGTGTTCATTTATTTGATATATTGACAGTATTTTACAAATTATGTTTCTTATTTAATGTTATGAAAATAAGTGAAAGTGACTCGTCACATGGAATTTTTCAAGAAAAGTAACAGCCTGGAGGACACGGGTCCTTGGATTATTGCTCCATTTGAACGACTTTAAGTCTGCTTCATGTCAGCCCCTGTGACCTACATCACTGGCAGGGGAAAACGGGGTTGAAATATTCGTGTAGATGGAACACAAGGCGATATCAACATGTATTCAGACAACAATCTACCAAAATTGGTACGCCTTTATATTCGTTAATATATGTAACTGAAATCATTTCAGTGACACCGCAAATCTGCATTATAATATATTTTTTTTTAAATAATGGGACCACCAAGTTAGTTAATCACAGTATAGAGCGTGACATTTTACGTAATGTTTTACTGACCTTAAACAATGAATAATAAACAAACAGATTAACAACATTCTTAAAATAATAAGTATGTTTTCTCCAACTTTTTTCCTTGTTTACGCACGTGACATCCAGATCTCAGATTTTATACGTTTGGTTCTATAGCAACTCTCTCACCAGGATAAAATTCAGGACAGGATAGATTTAAAGATATCTAAATAGCTTTTCTAGCCTTCACATATTATGTAATGAAGACAATTATATTTATTTATATCACTGAAATGTTAAAAAATACATATAGATAGAAAATTTCTATTGTAAAGTTCTTTTCATTTTGACATAAACAATAATTGCTGTTCCTTTGTCACTGTTGATTAGAAACTGGTTTTCCTTAAAAGAAACTTGTTCGGATTTTTAACTTTGTATTTCAAAACTTGGGATTTAAACCGAAATAAATTTAGGTCTAGCTTATAGATGAAAGATAAACCATAAACACCCAACAAATTGTATGAAAAGGCCAGGAGAGGGTACTATAGGCGAAAGCCTGTTCCCTAATCGTATTATGTAAATAATAAATATGGTTTATACAAAAGAGGGCCACTTTTCAACAAATAAGAATATGAGCTATCTTATTCTTAATTGCTGTCTTTATTAGTAAATAAGAAAAGTCCCCGGAGTTGACCACAAATCGTATGCTTGCGGAACTAATTTTTTTTTATCAAAAAAGTTTGCTGGAGTTGAATGCTTCCTTAACCCTACAAACAAAATATGAAATTGATGAAATAAAATAAATGTAAATAATATATGGGTTCAGTTAGTTTCTTTAAGATTTTTTTTTAAGAGAATTCTCATATTTCACCTTGGCATTTTTAATCATTAAAGTTACCATGGGACCTTCCACCATCAGCATTAATTCACAATCTCTTTTATTGACTGTAAATGGTTTGTTCCAAGTGCTGCTTGGAATTTCAATAGTTTCCATTATTTTCACACCATGTAAACAAAAGTCTTTTACTAAGCGTTGTATATATCTATATTGAGCCACTTCCTCTTGGAATTCCACTCCTAATGCATTGATTGTGTGGAATAATTTTTTCCGAAAATGATTGTAAAATATCATATCGGCTTTTAGTTCTATTTCTAATTTGTGTCTGCCTGATGGCGTTAAGGCATAAGTGGCCTTTTTCATATTTTTCCCAGATACCATAGAAATTATGTCTGACATCTCCCAACAAAATAACCTTTTCATTAACACTAAAGATTCTTCAAAATACTCGTGGATTATCACAAAATCGAATTCCTTATCAATTCGAGCCAGATGTGTTCTGATCGCATTCTCATCTTTGCGCAGGTGTGACTGTAATCCAAATTCGACACTCATCTGTTGATGAAGTGATCGAGGATCACCTTTAAATGGATCCTCGAACATAAAAACGTTCGATTTATTTCTCCTAAAAACTCCCCCGTGAAAGCTCCCATCAAATTCGAACGATATGTAACGTTCCACTGGTTCACGCATAATTGCCAAATATTTAGGGCTATTGGGAATAAGTTTCTGATAAAGTTTACGATCATAAAAAGAGTCAATATCCAAGATATTAAACGATTGACCTTCGGGTATCTTTACTAAATTATGTATACCACTAAAAATCCAATAATTATTGACAGTATTCATAAGAACTGTATTCAGATCGTTCTTCATTGAAAACCGTCTTAAAATGTTCGCTGTTGTAGTACTGCCACATTTATGCACTTTTAAATAGGCGATGTTTTTAGTTTTATTACATGTGGTCGTAATATAAACCATATCATTGTAACCAAGTAAAGTTGCTTTATCCACAGTCTCATGATCCTCAAACAAACTGGAAACAACCGAGGCGCCATTGAAGAACTTAACAGCATGTTTAGCTTGAGTTGGAATCGTGGTATATTCTAGAAGTAGAATACCAAGTGTTAACAAACCTAATCTGAAAAAGAAAACAATCACAGACTATTTACATTGCTTTGGCTATAGTTCAGGACTTGAAGGCACCGTAGTTGCACATTGTTAATTGCATCGATGCATTTACACAAATACTCATTAAGCTGCACATATATATGTAGGTAAAACTGACATCATTCAAACAAATATCTTCAGTCAATAAATATTCAACAAATATGCCCTGTTCATAATTTTTTTTTTACAGATAGTCTAGATATGAGCAATTTAGGGATATTCATTGCTAAACACTATCAGGTCAAGTGTTTTTTTATTGGTAGGCATAGGCAACAATCATTAGTTCAAAATTGGTTTGAACCTGATTTTAAGATTTTTTTAGTAATCATAGGTTGATGGCGAACGTGTAAACTACAGAAGAAAGCAAAAGATGTCTTGCAGTTATTTTATATCCATCGTTATTTTCAGAGACTCATATTTATATGTAAAGACATTGGAGGAAGTCAGTTTGAAATGGACTTCAAGGCAACAAAAGAAAGCAGTAGAATTTAAATTGGCTTATTGACCACAAAAACCTGAAAAACATTGTTTATATTACAAACATTGGTTATACCCCCATACCACCATGGATTGTTCTGGTCCCGAAAGTACCCGATCTAATTTTTGGTCGATCGGCCTTACTTTTGCGAAAAAGTCGTGAACCTGTGAGAATTATCGAGCACTGCCCTATACATTCGGGGGAAGATATGGAGCGATGGACTCATTCCTCCGAGGGAAGGGCACAGAAAGTGATCGGCTTCTGGACCAGATTGTCACCGATTTTGATCGACCTGATTGTTGTCCTGAAACGCCTCTAATCGCCCCGATTCGACTCCGATCGTCACGAATCACCTCTAATAGTCCTAAATCGCCTGGGTATGGGTAATCACGGACGTTCCACGCATGTGTCCGAAGGTACAACCCAAAGCCGCTTCCCCTGAGCAAGTGACCGATCTTCTTCTTTATTAGTAAATAAGAAAAGTCCCCGGAGTTGACCACAAATCGTATGCTTGCGGAACTAATTTTTTTTTATCAAAAAAGTTTGCTGGAGTTGAATGCTTCCTTAACCCTACAAACAAAATATGAAATTGATGAAATAAAATAAATGTAAATAATATATGGGTTCAGTTAGTTTCTTTAAGATTTTTTTTTAAGAGAATTCTCATATTTCACCTTGGCATTTTTAATCATTAAAGTTACCATGGGACCTTCCACCATCAGCATTAATTCACAATCTCTTTTATTGACTGTAAATGGTTTGTTCCAAGTGCTGCTTGGAATTTCAATAGTTTCCATTATTTTCACACCATGTAAACAAAAGTCTTTTACTAAGCGTTGTATATATCTATATTGAGCCACTTCCTCTTGGAATTCCACTCCTAATGCATTGATTGTGTGGAATAATTTTTTCCGAAAATGATTGTAAAATATCATATCGGCTTTTAGTTCTATTTCTAATTTGTGTCTGCCTGATGGCGTTAAGGCATAAGTGGCCTTTTTCATATTTTTCCCAGATACCATAGAAATTATGTCTGACATCTCCCAACAAAATAACCTTTTCATTAACACTAAAGATTCTTCAAAATACTCGTGGATTATCACAAAATCGAATTCCTTATCAATTCGAGCCAGATGTGTTCTGATCGCATTCTCATCTTTGCGCAGGTGTGACTGTAATCCAAATTCGACACTCATCTGTTGATGAAGTGATCGAGGATCACCTTTAAATGGATCCTCGAACATAAAAACGTTCGATTTATTTCTCCTAAAAACTCCCCCGTGAAAGCTCCCATCAAATTCGAACGATATGTAACGTTCCACTGGTTCACGCATAATTGCCAAATATTTAGGGCTATTGGGAATAAGTTTCTGATAAAGTTTACGATCATAAAAAGAGTCAATATCCAAGATATTAAACGATTGACCTTCGGGTATCTTTACTAAATTATGTATACCACTAAAAATCCAATAATTATTGACAGTATTCATAAGAACTGTATTCAGATCGTTCTTCATTGAAAACCGTCTTAAAATGTTCGCTGTTGTAGTACTGCCACATTTATGCACTTTTAAATAGGCGATGTTTTTAGTTTTATTACATGTGGTCGTAATATAAACCATATCATTGTAACCAAGTAAAGTTGCTTTATCCACAGTCTCATGATCCTCAAACAAACTGGAAACAACCGAGGCGCCATTGAAGAACTTAACAGCATGTTTAGCTTGAGTTGGAATCGTGGTATATTCTAGAAGTAGAATACCAAGTGTTAACAAACCTAATCTGAAAAAGAAAACAATCACAGACTATTTACATTGCTTTGGCTATAGTTCAGGACTTGAAGGCACAGTAGTTGCACATTGTTAATTGCATCGATGCATTTACACAAATACTCATTAAGCTGCACATATATATGTAGGTAAAACTGACATCATTCAAACAAATATCTTCAGTCAATAAATATTCAACAAATATGCCCTGTTCATAATTTTTTTTTTACAGATAGTCTAGATATGAGCAATTTAGGGATATTCATTGCTAAACACTATCAGGTCAAGTGTTTTTTTATTGGTAGGCATAGGCAACAATCATTAGTTCAAAATTGGTTTGAACCTGATTTTAAGATTTTTTTAGTAATCATAGGTTGATGGCGAACGTGTAAACTACAGAAGAAAGCAAAAGATGTCTTGCAGTTATTTTATATCCATCGTTATTTTCAGAGACTCATATTTATATGTAAAGACATTGGAGGAAGTCAGTTTGAAATGGACTTCAAGGCAACAAAAGAAAGCAGTAGAATTTAAATTGGCTTATTGACCACAAAAACCTGAAAAACATTGTTTATATTACAAACATTGGTTATACCCCCATACCACCATGGATTGTTCTGGTCCCGAAAGTACCCGATCTAATTTTTGGTCGATCGGCCTTACTTTTGCGAAAAAGTCGTGAACCTGTGAGAATTATCGAGCACTGCCCTATACATTCGGGGGAAGATATGGAGCGATGGACTCATTCCTCCGAGGGAAGGGCACAGAAAGTGATCGGCTTCTGGACCAGATTGTCACCGATTTTGATCGACCTGATTGTTGTCCTGAAACGCCTCTAATCGCCCCGATTCGACTCCGATCGTCACGAATCACCTCTAATAGTCCTAAATCGCCTGGGTATGGGTAATCACGGACGTTCCACGCATGTGTCCGAAGGTACAACCCAAAGCCGCTTCCCCTGAGCAAGTGACCGATCTTCGCGCGTTGTTCTGTTGTTAGAGGCCGAAATTTGATGATCCCGTCTCGAGAGAGGACGCTTTCGGTCACATATAGCTTCGTCAAACTACGCTTTCATTTGGCTACTCTCATCCGAACAGCGTAGGAAGATCGCTCACTTATGGTGAAAAGCGGGTCTCTACCAGACCTTTGCCGTGTACCTACAAACATCGATCGCCCGAGGAATGTCTGTGATTCGTCTCTCCGCAATAATCCAGTGGTCGGGACTCAATCGGGTTAAAAAAAAGTGGACGAATTGAGGCGATTCCAGACGACAAGCGGGCCAATCAAAAAAATAAATCATCGGAGACAATCTGGTACAGATCGGGCTAACATTTTAACCACCACTTATTTTTTCACTCTGGTAGTTGTGTGGATTAGGTTAAATTTGGTAATAAGTTAGCTATATTTGGAGATATATTTAATCCATTCTACTTGTCAAGCGTTCGCATCGGTGTTAATTTGCTCAGTCAAGTGAAAACGCTTATTCAATGTGTAATTTTGTTTGATATTTTCATTGGTTTATGTGTGAAGTTTCTTTTCTGACTTCATAAATTTTGCTCTACAAATTGTGAATTGTACATAATTATATTCCTGACACATTTTCCGGGTTGGTATGAAATCCAACAATTTCTCTGATTATTTGAATGGTTTGGGCTGTGTGATTGAAATGATAAATTGATATTATATACATGTATACCTAGGGAGGTCTGCATAGATTGATCATTTATCATAATTAGAACAAATGAGTTTACTATGCATTAATATTGTTATTTATATTAGAAATAAACTTATTACACACTAAAATGATATTTGACCCGAGCTCCCGCATTTAATCTTCACAAAACATTTAGAAGACATTATATTTCTTGATAGTAATCATTTACTTCAGAGGCGTAACCTGAATGCTAAAGATATAAAAAAAACAGACTCTCTAAGTTCCCCTAGGGGTATGTCCAACATTCCATTTTTATACGCCCTAATTTCCTGCATCAGCGATGGAGATCGCCATTAAATTTATTTTCTACGAGAATAATCCCTATTTCATGTGGTATATTGATTTCGTTTTCATTGATCCATTATTCTCATTATTCTATTAACTCGAGAATTATAATTTAATGTAATTGAACTATATTCATACAATCAGGTTCACAATCATTTTGTCAATAATCTTCAAATTGGCATTAACAAAAATATATGGAATTGCTTTATGCAGTGTGTCCGGTTTGAGAGTAATTGTCTTGAGAGTGCAGTCCCACTAGTGTGTCCTTGCCTCAGAATTGCATTAACACTGGCACAAGAGAGATTGGCCTCGAGAGCGCAGTGTCAGTGGCATGAGAGTGATTGGCTTGAGAATGACTGGATTGAATGTGGTGTCACATAACCGAATTCAATAATTCAGTTGTGCAGTGTGACCATTTCGATAAACTGTTTTTACTAATAACTCATCATTTCTGAGCCAATGTTAGTCGATAACCTTCAAGATATATATCAAAGTCTAGTAAGGGTCATCATGTGGTATATTGACATGGCATTAAAATTCATGAAGAAGAAAATGAGTAAAGTAATTTTCCAATCTGTTTTATTATATTATGGTAAATCTGTCCCATGAATATTCATTCAAAATGATTTAAATTGTAACGGGCAAACCTGTGAATTAATCGTATATGGTCATTATCAAAGCAAATATTTTTGTGTTGCTTAAACCTACATTTAACCTAGTAACTAAAAATCATAGCATTTTAGCAAACAAATGAATTCGAATTGTAAATGTGGGTGTGAAGTGAAAGTATGGCGCGGTAAACGGTGCAGGATGATTGATGCATATATAGTGATATGATATATAGTTTAAAGACTTAATTGCATAATAATATAGATGTACAAGATAAATAATAACAATATTAATTTGGTGTGAGTGTTTGTAATCACTCAAGGATGAACTAGAGTTGGGCGAAATGAGATATTTTGTGTATTGCGATATATAATTTGTTTTTATCACATAGGTTCAAAGCTTAGGAACGTGAGCTGGGATTAGACCTTGCTGAAACAGGTTAGTTTTACCCTTCTGGTAGGGAACTGGTACGAACGATTCAACTGTAACTCAATAGCCCAGCGTCAATTGTCTTATGGCAAACCTTTCAGGAGCCATGTTACAATAAAATATTAATCCCGAGAGTGTTTTGAAAACTGATTGGCATAAATTTATCGACTGAATAAATTGATGAAGTTGGTCAACGTTTAATCTATCTCCGCGATAAAATCTTACATATCGTCTTTTTTACGGCTGATATTGCGAAATATCGCCATGATAATATCGCAACGGTATACCAGTATAAGTAAGTGATTGTTTATTACTGTGACATGTGTTATAACAAATATAAGCATATTGTATTCAGAACAACTGTTCCAAACACCCGACACGATGGACCTATTTTTCACTTAAAGTTAGTTAATATAATATAATACAAACATACATGCGCACGAACACATACATATTTATCCATAAGAATATATACATATATATATGTACATCTATAAGTTACCTGCTGATCTGCAATCTCAAAATACGAATTTTAATCCCAAATTTGGTCGAGTTTTGTATATTATACTAAACATTATACATAATTTTGCTTACGTCTTTTTGAAAAACGCATGATGTAGGAACTTAGTACTTTTATAAGGGAATTGTGTCAGTAATATTGTTAATTTCTCATCAGCAGGTAAATGAGAAATTGAACCATTGAAAAGAATTCTATCGAACCAATTCATAAAATTGACATTCAAGCATAAAACGAGACTCTTTTCTATGCTGACCTGTTCGCACAATTGACAAATGCGTTCTTTGGGTTTTTCGTCGACGAACCTACCGGTTTCAACCCTAAAGGGCAGTATGCCACATCTGATCTGAGCTAATATTGAGCGTATAGCGTTTAAAGTATTCTTCTTCTTTATAGACATATTTAAAAGTAGTGTACTTTCTTAGTTTACGAGAGTTATGAATTTTTATGTAACACGACTATTGATTTTTGATTTGATCATGTTAATATCAGCTAATGACTTATCACTCATTGTGCACACACCTCTTCGTACGATAACAACTATATATTCGAATGCTTGTAAACTCTAGATTTATATCGTTATTAAAACCTGCTCATTCCACAAAGCGATCAATGTCCTATCATGAAAAATTAATAACATTACATTATAACCAAAATTTATCATATTGATTCTGAATACTTTAAACTTGATTCAAACTATGTATTAACATTTCTATATAGCTCTACAATATTGATATTAATTTATTATTGTTAATAAATTATTATTATTTTAATTGGTAGGGCAATAAACTGGAAAGAGGTTTTACGTTATACTTGTCTTCACTACTGGACTATAGAAGACTGATAAACAGTCTTAGTGTACAGTAAGGGAAAATGTGCCTGGCACTACTGTTACGGAAGGCAAACGATGAGTTCAAAATACCTGTTGAAACAATTCTTATGGTCAACAAAACACGAAAGTTCATTTGTTTTGATATTATTGAGCACAAGTTATATTATATAAAAAATATAAAATAAAGTATTTTTCAATCGTGTCAAAATCCAGCCATTAACATGAAAAAAAAACAATGATCGTACAAATTGCCAAACTTTGACGGAAGCGAAAAATTAAATTTACGAAACGACATATATTTAAATTTAAATGATTAATATGGTAATAAAATGATATTCTATGACAGCCCAGGGGACATCACATCGATAGGGATATCGATTTAACGATTATTCATAATTGAAAGTTCGCTTAAACTAAAGAAAAAGTCACTACTTTGTGATCGAAAAAGTAACACATTCTAATCGTTGTTAAATGTCTTTCCTTTCACTATGTTTCAACAGTAAAATGAGTTTGGTAACTGGACGCTTCAAAATTGAACCATCAGCAAGTTTGACATCAACTATTCTAACCAAATTATCATCTCCGATATAAATTTCTATAATTTCTGCTAATTTCCATTTTCCACGTTTATTGTTCTCATCAACAACTAAAACTACGTCTCTTTTCTCTAGATTATCCTTACAATTTAACCATTTCTGACGAGGAGAAAGCTTATGAATATTAGTCATCCAACGACGCCAGAATCCATTCAACATATGGTTACAGAGTTCACGTCGTTTTCTAAGATTTCCTGCATAATCTTCACAAGGTATTTGTTGCGATGTAAGATCACCTGTTCCAATCAGGAATTGATTAGGAATTAATATAGGGCTCATCTAATGGCGAGGATGATTGAACAGTAAGCGGTCTACTATTAAGTAATCCGGAAATCTGACAGAAAATTGTTTCCCATTCTATAAAGTTAAGTTTATCAGCAGATACCATGTGTTTCATTGATTTCTTGACTTCTTGTACCATTCTTTCTACAGCACCTTGATGATGTGGTCCAGCAGGTGGTCCGAATTTCCAAGTTATTTTAAATCTTAAACAATTAGAGCGAATTTGATCATGATCTAGTCGAAGTTGTAAATCACGTATTTCATTGTCAGCACCTCTAAAGCAAGTAACATTATCACTGATTAACAGTTCAGGTGCACCACGAATACTAACAAATCGTTCTAGTGCTTGTAGGAACGCTGAAGTCTTGCACACATGTAAGATGCACAGCCCTAGTTACTGCACAAGTAAAAACAGCACAATATCCTTTTGTGACCGTATTTCTATTAAGTTTAACATTCACAGGTCCTAAAAAGTCCACAATTGTAGTTTTGAAGGGCGGTGTACACGGTTTAATTCTGAAGTCCGGTAAGTCTGCCATGCGTTGTTCCATCGGTTTTCTTCTATAACGAGCACATACAATACATTCTCGTACAACTTGACGCGATAAATTAATATCACCAATAATCCAAAACTGTTTTCGAATTTCTGCAGCTGTGCGAAGGTGTCCACCATGTAAACAATGTTTGTGTCTTTCTTGAGCTATAAGTAGACTAACATAATGTTTTATAGGAAGTAGATAAGGATGTCGGATGTCATAGGATAGTTGAGCTTTATCTATTCGTCCTCCAACTCTGTAGACTCGATCAATATCATTGTAGATGGGTTCCAACTTCATAATGTTGTGATCTTCAAAATTTATATCATTCTGGGCGAATCGTATCCAGTATAATTCAGCATCTTTAATTTGTTTATATGAAGGCCATTGAGCTACAGTCTTGGTTAAATATTTCAACCATCTACTTTTAGGTATATATTTTAAAGATAAAATTCTAGCAGTTACCATTACTAATTTTGTCCAACTAGAATATTGTTTCGGATCAACTATTGGAACGATATTTCCAATTCTGACAGCTAAAACTTTTGCATTTCTCACGTGGAATTTCTTCAATTCAACATCTTCACTGTTGACTGGAATGCAAGTAGGTGTTACAGGCCAAGTGTTTTCTGCTCTCTGAAGGAAGTCAGGTCCATCAATAACTCGTTTCATTTCACTGGCTTGTACTCCTCTTGATACTAAGTCGATAATATTCTGATCAGTAGGAAAATACGATACATCTTTGTACGGGTCAAAATCTGTTGTAATTTCACCAACACGATAAGCAACATAAGATCGAAAAGATTTTGATTAACCTCGTAGCCAGCTTATTGTTGTCATACTATCAGTCCACATTTTAACGTATTCGATTTTAAGTTTTAAAGCGTTGATAACAACTAACATCAGTCGTGATAACAACAGAATAGCTTGCAGTTCTTTGCGTGGTATACTCGATTGCTTCAAAGGCGTAAGTCTAGCTTTAGCACAAACAAATGTCAACTCGGCATTTGATTCGTCTTCATTGGACCATCTCATCCGAACTCCTATGCCCATTGCATCTTCCGAGGCATCATTAAAACCATGAAGCGACATTTTAGGTAGTTTAGATTGTCCTTGAAATTTTTCAGGAATTAAACAGCGTTTGATTTCGATTGAACAAACATCTTGAAGATCTTTCTTGATCTTATTGAACATAATATATAAATCACTATTAGGGTGAATCGGATCATCCCAGTTAATGTCATACTGCCATAATTGTTGTAAAAGTATTTTCGGTCGTACTAATATCCCTGATAACATACCATAAACGTCGTAATACGAAGTAGTCATCTTGAGAATATTACGTTTTGTCGGAACAAAATCTTTAAATAAAACTTCTTTTACACTGAGAGAGTCTGTCTTTAAATTCCATCTGGTACCAAGTACTGAGGTAACATCGTTGACGGGATAGAACTCGGTATCGCAGAGAGCTGGCTTATTTGATAACCATTTGCGAATTTTAAAATTTCCTTTTTCTAAGGTAGAAGTAAGATTAGATTTTAATCGTTGAGCTTCATCAGTTAACCTTTGCGAATCTGTGAGATCGTCGACATAAAATTGATTGTTAGCGATTCGCTGAATTTCAGGATCATCAGGAGCGTTTTCAGCAGCAACGTGACGTAAGGCAATAATGGCTGCAGCAGGTGACGGTTTATCTCCAAATGTAACTGTTGTTAATTCGTACTCGTTGATTGGGTCTTCTGGATGCTTACGAAATAAATAACGGTGAAAGCGAGCATCGTCGGGTGCCATCTTTACAGCTTGAAACATTTTACTAATGTCAGCAATAACACCAACTTCATATTCACGGAATCGTAAAGCTATATCAAATAAATCTACATTCATATTATGACCTTTGGCTAAATAATCATTTAAAGAGTGACCTTGGAATCTAGCTTTACCATCATAAACAACTCGAACTGGCGTAGTCTCTGAATCTCTGAAAAACCACATTTTTGTACCATTAGCATTATCAGTATGCAATTCATATTGTGGAACTTCTCGTGCAACACCTCTAGAAACTTAATCATCCATTTGTTTGCAATAAATTTCCCATCCACGTGGACGGTTTTGAAACTGTTTCTCCAAATTCATTAAACGTTTGACAGCATAATCGTAATTATTTGGTAATTCTAACGGCGATTTCTTCCAGGGTAAGTTAATCTGATAAATACCATCTTCTAATCTAGTAACGCTATTCTGCATCTGTTTGGTAGCTGATTTCTCTTCGGCGTCAATTGCACATTTGCAACGTCGAGGTTCAATTCCCATACGTTCGATGCCGAGAAAATCTTCAATTTCACTTACGGCAGAAACTTGCGTAAAGTTCATAATGTTATTTTTAGGTGTTTCGTTATATCGACCTCCTTGAACATACCATCCTAAAGGACATTTAACTGCGATAGGATCATCCTCGTTAGGGCCTATTAAATATTGCTCTGAGGTAAGTAAATCTCCATTTTCGACTCCAAGT